GGGGGGGGGGGGGGGGGGGTGGGGGGGCTGGAAGGGCTATGCCCTACCACTTTTATTGCTGGGATTTATTTTCTAGGGCTCCAGTTGACATGGATAAAAATACGAAACACAGACCTTAACGTTTCTTTTTCTTGGCCAGATTTTTTAGCCCTACCTCTTTAAGATGGTCTATGCGGTTCCTGTCCCTAGTTTCATTAATTTGACTGGTCACTGTTGGGTTTTACTTGAACAGGCTCAGAAGTCAATAGCTAGAAACTGGTGAATGAGTATAAAGTGCAAGTAGGATGTGGGTTTATACGGTTTGTCTTCTGTGTGTTCTACGGGTTATGTAGATAGTATTCTTGAATTCAAAATCAAATTCTATAGTTCTAAAAAGAATAGTTTATTGGTATCCAATGTAGGTACATTGTATACAAGTCCTGTACAGTAAATTTGAAGCAACAAATGTGAATGTTTGCACTTTAGAGAAGTTGGTTACAAAGCACTGCAAATGGAGGAGATATAATATTTTGAGACCATTTTCAATGAGTGTTTGGTCTTTATCAGGCCAATAATTATCACTCATTCTGGGCTGTGTGATTTTGAGTTTTTAAAGCCAATGATTAATACATGGTGTTCAATTTGTTGGTCATTGTGAGAAGCTAGTAGTGAAGTAATTGATGTCAAAGCTATTTATATCTGAAATAGCAATTATTTCTATCTCATCAAATCCCAGTTTAAAGGTTGAGAAGATTGCACAATTCCTTGTGTACTTGAGCATAATGGTTAGGTGTGCATCTTAAGACATCTTAGGTCAACCCTTTTTAGTTGGGTAACAAACAACAGTAGCTAGAGTAGTTGATTATTTTATACTCTTTGTCGTCATCTATTTGTGAATTTAGTATTACTTGGATGTTCTAAGTACTAGCAATTTTCCTTTCTGATCAGAACTAACTCTTACTGGGTTTCAATAATATAATGAACCTTTAAATACTGATTTCACGCTTTTTCCGAAAATTGGCAAGTTTGAGGTTTCATACTTTCATGAGTTTGTAACAGATTCTTTTGAAACGTTGCATATTAACTAAATTCAGGATGGTAAATTGATCTATGGAGGTTTTTGTTTTGATGTTGCATGACATCAGTAAAAAGGTCAATTTGTTCCAACTTGTCAGAAGCCGTTACTGACAGCGACATTTTGGAACTTGCAGCTAATTTTTTTTCACTATTTCAGAGATATATTTTATACCTGTTCAATGTATTTATTGGTCAGAACTTATTCAAAGCTTTTTGTTTGGAGTTGCAGGAATATCTGTCAAGATGAACAAAATTAGTTGTCCATTTCTACTGACATTTAATTCTACATGTACTTGTTCTTAATAATAGTGTAGTATCTTGTACTGCGATAAGTCGATTTTCGCCCATGTGCACAGAGATGTTAAGGAAGCTTCTAGTTTACATAAAATTACTGCAGCTGTGACTTTTAAAATGCAGTAAATGTAGTATTAAATAATTGAAAAGTACCTATGATCAGCATGCGTCATTTTTTGTGAGCCATTCTAACTTTGTGTGTATCCCAGATGCCCATAATTGACCACACATTCTTATCCTTCTGGAAACACCCAGATTGTAAGGGTTATTGACCAAGTGTAAGGTCAAGATAGCTGGATATTGGCCAAGTTTTTTTTTTTTATGTTAATGGGCCAAGACAGAGTTGAGATCCATAAGCACACAAAAGAAGAATGAGGACAATGTCCTGAGCCATCTTGACCCAATAAAGAATTTATAATATGGAAAAAGAAATGTATTTTCTTGCAGGACACAGTGAGTAATCCTGAGCACGCAAGATAACACCATCTTGCCTGCTTGGGTAGCCACTATTGGTGCAGGATTCGGTTCATCTTGCCTGCTTACAGAACTACGTAAGTATGTATAAGATGCATTCAATAGTTCTCCGACATATTATGTGAGGAGTAATCCCATACTGCACTGTCCCTCCCCCCTCCTCACTAACAGAAAATTTGTAATAATAAAATAATGAGCAACAGTGCAATAGCATGCGACCCGGGTGGATGTGTTGCTCTGTGACACAGCACAGTGCTAGGGAGAGGAATAATTTGGCTTTTATAGTTCAATTTAAAATTTTACAGAGATAAATATTTTTATAGGCCAGGAGTCTCATGATTAATGTTGGGATGGTATTCAAGCGAGCTAAATGTAATTACAGTTTGACTTATGTAACGTGTTGTCAGTACATGTAGTTCCCAACTTAAAGTTCCTTCAAACAACTGTTATTTTAAACAGCTTCACTTTTTATTTCACAAATAAAACAATAACTACCCTGACTAACTTGCTTCTTTAAAAATCTGATTTTTACATCACTTTTATACTATTTACAGAAATCCAGATAGTGATAAACAACTTGCTGTTACTCACTCCATGACAAGTCTGTTAATTGATTATCACTATGACTGTGACAATAGGATATTTGTTGCCACAGTAATATCATTATTGCTTGTTGTCAAAGCGTGAAGCACAGCTAGTCTGGAGAATCCCATCTCTACTAAGGTCTGAACCTGCACAGAAAAAGGAACAAAATAAATGTTACTGATTTATCACTGATTTACAGTCATGTAGACACGCCTTTTGGAAACACCATACAATTGACCTTGCAAGGGACTGCAGAGTTACATGTAAGGGGGCAAACCCGAGGGGGGGGGGGGTACTCCCTTATTTGGTCTATACGGGGACATGCTGTTGGACAGGGTATGGTTTTTTGGCCTCGCTGTCCTGAACCGGGTACAGTCGAACCTCGNAACAGTCTTTTGAAAGGACTATTGGGCTTTTTGCGACTTTGAGTTTTCAAGATCACAACTAATTAATATTTGTGAAAAAATTGGGACGAGAAAAAAGTCCGGATAATTATTATTGGATAGTCCGGATAATCGAGGTCTGGATAATCAAGGTTCCACTTTATACGATTTTACTCGCGTTTGTCCTAAACAGGGTCAGAACCTGTCCTAAACAGGGTATGGTATTACGAGCTGAGACACGTTAAGCGGCCACTACAAAGTCATCAATCAACATCAGATCATTCTCTGGACAAGAATGCTATTGTTGATGGTATCTTTTCATTTAAATAATTTAGAGCGTAATGTTTGATGGCCTTTTGTTTAGTTCAAGTGCAGAGATGCAATAACTGGGTTTTAGACGTATCAAACATGATTTCACTGATTGGAATGGCTTATTAAACAGTTAAAATTCCTGTAAACCAAGAGAATGTGTACTTTGTCTCTTGCCCTAAATGGGGTATTAAAATAGAGGGTGTCGTCCTAAACAGGGTAGGGTTTTTAGAGTATTTTTGTCCTTAACAGGGTCAAGATTTCAAACCCTTGGCGGCACCCCTATACCCAGACATGGGTCTAGTACCTCCCCCTCCCCCTCCACTCCTGGGGAGCAAAGTGCATTTTATGAGGGTTAGAGGCACTTACTGTAGTTCTACTAGCAGTTCCAAGCATAAATCCTCTTCACAACTAAAATATCAAGTCATTTTGATGATCATAGGCCCGCAATGCATAAAAAGATTACAAATTTTTTTCATGTTCTATTTTTGTTTGCTGGAAGAATTTTAGTCACGGCAAAGCTCAAGGAATGATGCAGACAAACAGTCCATGTGCAAATAAATACAATAATGCCTTAATTTCAGACTGGACATCTGGTATGTACAAAGGTTTAAATAATGTATTAATGAACCTGCTCTTCTGAGACTTCTACTGTTGGCTGTTGGTGAAAGTTTGCATTGTCCATATCCAGATGTCTGTCTTGCCATTCATTCAGTGGTGGGGGTTGTGGTGGTGGGTTGTTGGCAGCTGCCCCACCCCACAGCCAGCCTCCACCTCCCGGGGGTACTAAAACATCTGCATACCCTTGGCCCACTCTTGGAGGACCCTGAAATTACAGTTTGAAAACATTATGATGAAAAAATAACTGTGAGATGAATCTCATTATAATTACCTTAAGCTTTATAAACAAGTAAATGTGAAATAAAGTTTAAAATAGATATTGCAGACATGTACACAAGTCATGTTGTAAATATTATTAGCGCAAAAATATTGGATGCTGGCACTTGACTCAAAGCCAGTTTCAGCTGAATGAACTGACAGAGGTATTATCATTTTGAAGCGTTCTGATCAGGCCATAATTTTCAACTTTATGATTGCTTTTACAATCAAAACCACACCAATGCGAGTCCTTAGCCATTACCCTATTTCTAAGATTCCCCATTCTTGCTCTTAGCGCTTGCTGCTCATAATGTTCCATCTGCTGAAGTCGCTGTATTTCCAGTGTTGCACCCATGGCATAAGGTTGAGCTGGAGGCCTCTCTGAACTAAACCAATTACCAATGGCTCTAGATATGGCTGAAGTCAGAGAATCTGGCAGCCTGAGCCACCGTTGAACTTGAAATAAGTTGAACCTATAAACAATTCCTGCCACCTATGAGGATAACAAGAACAAGTAATCATCTTTGGTTTACATAATATATTTACAGTAGCCTCCATTTGGTGCAAAAATATGGTCCGATATTTGTCTGTGGACATTATCTGCCCAAGAAGTAAACAGTTTTCTGAAAGCGTAGCTCTAGGAAAACTGTGAGCTTTGAGGAACAGGTAATGTCCAAGGACAAAATCCAAGCATAATTTCACACCAAATGGAGGCTATTGCGCTTATTATCCTTCGAATATTTTCCCAAAATGTGGGTTGTTAGTTGAAAATTGGGGAATATCTTGTGGATATTCACCAGTTTTAGCTGGGGCATAGTTATTCAGTCATGTGATGCTTTTAGACCAATAATTATCGTGTGCAAGCAAAAATATTTGACGGATTATAGTAATATTGATTTTAGTTACAGTGTACATGTAGAATGCAACTTAATGTTTACTAAATAACTTATTTAAAAAATTCTAAAGAAAATTTTACCCAAAATTGTCCAAAGAACACTACCTTTTTAAACTAAATAAATTATATACTTTAGAGTATCTTCATGCAGTATGTCAAAGATAATACATGTAAAATAACATACATGTAATGTTTGAGTAACGTTACTTCTTTAAGTGACGTGTAATCTTTTAGCAAACAATTTTGCTTGCAGTACAAATTATACGTACACTGTAGCTCAAAATATTACTGACTACTATTAGTTCAATCACTAACCATTCCACAGATACCAGCCAAAAGTGATTCCTTACTGGACAGCAACATCTGTTAAATGGCAAAAACATCTGTCACTAACATAATCATAACAACATCTCATTATGAGCCTTCACACGTCGTTACACCATACTTTATGTATCTCTCCACTGCCAGAGCAGTGAGAGTATGCAAAGTCCTGTCTGATCTGTCTTGGGATAGTCAAAATTTGTCTTCAGACTTGTGGATTTACAATGATTCATCATTTTCTCACTACAGTGGAACCCCGTTGATCTGGTCACAAACAGGCCACAGAAATCAGGTCATGTTAACAGGGTGACAGTGTTAAAGGGGTTTTTAAACAAGAAAATGACTGACTGAGCTTTTGTTCCGGCCAGAATAAAGAGACCATAATAACAAGGTGGCCGTATTAACGGGGTGGCTGTAAGGCGGGCTTTCACTGTCAGAAAACCACTAAAAGGGCCTTTGGGCTTCAGGGCTATTCTCCTTACTGTAAGTTACCATTTCCCTTTCCATGACGTTTGTAAGAATTTGGTGATACATCAAGAAAATATCCCCTAGTTGATGTTTAAGTTACTAATTCTCATCACCCCCCCCTGCTTGGTAACTGTTACGAGAAAAGAGATGTTGATCAGTTTTGACCAAGGAAATTGAATCACTTGAGTTAACATGGTCTCAGTTTGCACTATTCAATAACTGACCTGCAGAGCTAGAGAGTAAATAAATATTTTCCCTGAGATTGGAAAGCCAAGGAATGTAACTGCATCAGAGGCTGGAACATCACAGAAATACTTCACAAGGGTTGCATAAAGCATTCCAAACCTGGTTCAGAAGATGTTAATACAATGTAAGGAAAGAAACCTTAAATCTTGCCATCTTATGTCACATCTGCTGGACAAAGATAGATTATAATAAACAATTTAAAGCAAAGTGAATAGATGGAAGATCATATACATGTTCATGTAATATAATTTATGTATTTGTAATGTGGAAAAAGATATGACGACATGATTGATCATCACAGTTGTACATACACAATATAAACAGTTGTGAAATTAAAGCCTGAAAAAATTTCAGGTAACTGCTTAAGTTGTGTATACATAATATAACTGCGATGATCAATCATGTCTTCAAAGTCAATTTAAAACAAGCTTAAACAAGTTGCCACACACTCAACCAAAGGTGGACATTTTGTATAAAGTTAATGTAGAGTTACAAAGTTGAAAAGATACAGTCCTGGTGGGGGAAGTCCCACATCATAACCAAAGTGTTTCAACACAGAGATGGAGGTCAGCTGAAGTCCAATTGCAATCACTGTGGTGCTAAAAATGTATGACTGCAAAAGAAAAATAATTCAGGTCATCCAGTTAATAGGTGATGACTTGCACTACTTACTCTGAAGCTACAAGAAATCCCATGGGGAGGGGGTTACTCCCTTATAATTTATGGGCTATATATGGTATATGCAGCCCTAAAGGGTATCAATGGTTTTTTAGCCCTTTTTTTCATTAATAGTGTATCAACAATTTTGGCCATTTTGATCTCATATAGGATATGGTTTTTGTACTTTAGTCATGAATTGGGTATGTTCTTTAGGTGAAGCTACTTTTTCATCAGTATGATTGAGACCATCAACAAAAGCCCTTCACAATGCCTTTATTTTATTATTTTTTTTTTGTATTTTATTAATTTTTATTGATTGACTTCAGTTGTTTACAAAAATTATAATGGAAAAAAAAGTGGCTGTATATAATAAATTACATAGGTTTTTCTATACTAAAATATAATACTAGAGTAAAGAAAATGACACTAACTTTATAGTATACATATATCGTTGTAACTTGGGACTAAATATAAGGCAGGTTTGAAACAGGGTATTGATTTAAAGGGTCAGGTCTTAAAATAGGGTATCACATTTTTGCTCCAATCATAAATAAGGTAGGGAAAATTGCAGATATTGGTCATAAATATGTTAAGGGTTCTGGGAAATGGGCCACAACCCTGCCCAATTTTTCTAGGAAAGAAAAGAAATGCATAAAGAGCTACAGGAGTGAGGTACTAAGACTATGAACAGTATACTATAAATTTGTTAAACAAAACTATCGGGATTCTACTGTATTTAATACAGTAGAATCCCGATTTCTAGAGCCCTCGGTTTCTCAAACCTCCCAATAACTCGAACCATTTCTCATTTCTCTTGGATCTGCTTCACGTTAACACGCTAATTTTACCCCCAATTACTCGAACCCTTGATTATTTGAAACTCCTGCAAACTCAACCCAATTCTCAGCTCCCGTGGGAAAAATTAACCCGTAATACAGTACATTGTAACTTGGACCTTTGAAAATTTACAAGCCACTGAGTGATGATTTCAATGAAATTCTTCGCATTGAAGCAAATAAACACTTCCCAGTAAGTTTTTCCTTCCTATGGATGAGGATGCTATTGTAATTGTAGATGAACCACCAAACCCACCATCACAATGTGAACTACATGTATATCGACAATCTGTGCCACAGTGCACAAAACATAACTAAAAAGCTATCGACAAAAGTTTCCCAATTACTAAACGGCAACAAGTCATTAGGCGATACCTTTTGTAAGGAGTGTTTTATTCCAGTGTGAATGTAATTGAAAAGCTGTATAACATGTGCATAGAACTACAGCCTGAACTACAGGGTTTGACATCTCTGCTAGCCCGGAAGCCTGAGGCTAGTAAAAATGAGGTCGGGCTAGTAAAATGTCATGTTTAATAACCTGCAACTATTAAACATTGATAACACTTACTGCATATCGTTTTGATCCAAATCGTCTCTCAAAGATCCGGAAAGAATAAAGAAGGAATGAGCCACATATCAAATTCCTAGCACTTGAGTAGTACAAACTTGATGATAAAACTTGCCATAACTAACAAAAGATAACAACACTGCAAATTAAAATTTGTACATTATTTTGAGTTTAAAATACAGTGGAGTAAGTATTGCATCCTTATTACAAAAGGGACACTTCATGTAAGTCATGATCCTGAGGTCATTGCGACAATGACAGCACCTACATGTACAAGAATTAGCAATTATTTCCCTGTAATTAAAAACACAGGAAAGAAACAAAACTCTGACTCCTGGATAATGTATACACATAAAATCTCTCTTCATACCTGGGACCCTAAAACCTAAAAAATACTATCTTCTATTCACTCCAATAAATTCATAACACTTGCAGTAATGAATGGCTAAGATCTAAACTAGGTTAATTGTAAAACTTATACAGTTGTTTTATTCTGGGTAAGCATGCTACAAAACCATGGCTGAACACCTCAAGTAACTAATAATTTATGTGTGGTATGAGAGTATCATTCTCTAGGGAAAATGACAAGCATAGGCCATCCACTGCAGTGAGATACTACCGGCGGCCTAGACATTGGGAGGAAAATTAGTTTTCTAGACCCCCTGAATCCATTGTTATTAACTCGCTGTTTCTCATCACTAACGTAACCCTGTTTCCATTACAAATGAAACAAACAATGTCGCCAAGTACCTTTGAGTTACGGGCAATCTGAATCCATGGGTTGTTTGGTAAGAAATGTTTGTTAGATGACACAAAAAGGATGTTAAAAATAGATGCTGTACCAGTCAAAACAAGAAGGCCTTTACTGAGTGGTGCATGGTCTACAAAAAATTATAATTCAGAATTAACAAATTAGAATTTACATTGTATGGAAGTAACCTTAAGAAAAAGTATAGCACTGTGGAGTGGAACTGTGACTGATCGCCTGTTGTTTGGTTTTTATTTTTGTGAAGGGAGCGGTGGCCTCATGGTTAGTGTACTTGAAGACCTCTGGATTGGGCAGCCTGGGTTTGAGCCCTGGCCGGGGACATTGGCTTGTGTTATTGGGCAAGACAAGATGGGTACCGACGAATTTAATGCTGGGGGTAACCCTGCGATGGATTAGCATCCCATCTAGGGGGGAGTAGAAATACTCCTAGTCGCTACGTGCTACAGAAATCGGGATAAACTCCGGCCTGATGGGCCACTTTGCTCGTTTTCAGACTTTACATACCTTACGTTGGTTTTTAATTATATTTCCCGGCAATACCAGCCAGTCAAAGACACTACAGTTACAATTACACAACGATACCCTTAGAAGTAAGTTTTTACTAAATGGCTTGAGGCAATGTCGTATGTTTTAGCTAAACACTTGAACATTTTTGCAGTTAAACCTTGTGGAAAAAAGGACTATATACTCACAAAAGCCCGTCGAAGATGTGCCAGGGAACATTTAATAACGTTTTTTGGATGCAAAGAAACCTCTTGGTTGTTTCCTTATTTCCTCAGTTGCTAAATTACGCTTGCCTTGGGGGAAATTTCGATAGAACAACACGGCAACTCGTAAACATGAAATCAAAATGGCTTCCTCTCGAAGCGCGCATGTCTCGAGTAATCTTCTCGTCCCCAAGGCCTCCTCACATGGTCAACGAGAAGAAAACGAGTAGCACTGGAGAAGAGAGATGAATAAGAAAAAATCGGCGAAATTAAAAAGAAGCGATTTCCTCCCACTTCGTCTCAACTTTCCCTCGTCCTACTGACTGCCCCTGGGTCTACAAGGAAGGTATCTGAACAGTATAGAAAATGAATGGGTACTCTTTCTACTTTTGGCGTATAAAATTGGTACCTTATTGAATGTAAAGCCGATATCCTTAGCTTAGGTCTGTCAAAACTGTTTGTGAAAGGCAGAAACGCTGAGTGTTAAGACCTCGAGGTGGAGGCTTCTCGTCTGAAACTTAGTTGGGTAACCCCCACCTCTCTCAACCCCTCCTTCCGGATCATGGAGACTCCTTGAATGAATAGTTGCGGAGGTAAAAGGGCAGGTTTACATCTCTGGAAATTAGCACATGCACCTTTTATCGAATTTTCTAAGAAATAGTTCACTATCGCTCATACAAAACTGGGGCAAGTAGCCTTATTGTCTCGGTAATCTCTACAAAGGTAGCAGTCACAAACCAACAATATTTAATATTTTCCACCCGAAAAGAAACTAAATTTTCCTTTCATGACAACACGCACATGATCATGGTTTATCAGCGATTATAACCCATCCATTAATTTTGGCTCGATTTTATTGGTTATTTTACGTCACGTGGTGAAAACTTACAGGACAGTTACGCAATAATCCCCGTCTGCGTCGATATTTCTCCTCCGATTGCTTCCGTCGAAGAGAAACAGAGTCAGCACAGGAGTTTCAAATTTTCCTTTCTCTTATTTTACATAGAAGAAAACCAAACTCGCTTTGTTCAGTGTAGCGATAGTGACATTAAACAGCTGGTCGCAAATGCTGTTCCGGAAAGTACATCAAGTTTTTGAGTTTTTGACCTAAGGGGT